ACACACACACACACACAGCACACACACACACAACACACACACACACACACACACTTTAGCGGATTATATACAGTAAGATTATCATAGCAATACAGCTTCAGTAGACACAAATGTTCTAATGTGCTCGGCGAATATTGAATTTGCAGGAAGCCGAAGCACCAGAATTGCCGTCCACTAGTTACGAGGACTCCACTATGCGGTCTGCAGCTGGCTTAGGCGAGTTCCGGCCACCCTCGCAGACCATAAGCCCTGGAGAATTGCAAATGGGCCAGAAGAAAATCAAAACACAAGAGTTGGAAAACTTTCAGTGAGATCATTTCGTTTGTGTTTTTCCTTTCCCTTTACACATTCATTGAGGTAGTGTGCAAGACCGGCTAAACCTTCTCGCAATCTATGTCCCAAAAATTATTTTTCTCCCCGTGAAAATACCGATTACTCGTTTGTTTTAGCGTGACAGGCTTTGAAGCAGAAGGCATGAAGCTACCTCGGCGGAACCATTTCATTTATTACCCTCGAGAATTGCGTTTACGGGTTTATGATCGAGGTGTGCTATCGGATTTCCCTTCACCGATAAGGGATTCAAACGGCATTCCGAGTGAGTCATTTTTTAACTGTAATATACAGCAGCGGTCTAAAATCAACTGGGAAAAGGTTTTGCGCATAGCGTTTTCCTCAGCAACCAACTCTTTTGAATTTTCCTATCTGTTACGTAATTTAATGTTGCAAGCAAGTGACAACTATTATGTTCGAGTACGATGGACGGATCTTGTTTCCCATCCATATTTATTTTAAGTATCTGGAGGGCCATAACAGCTCACGCTCTTCCGAACTCTGGAGTCTTCTGACACTGTTGCAGTGTTTGCTTTTTTGGCATGGAATTGCTTTTTGGTTATATGAAAGAGGGAAAACCTGAATATTAGCAGGCAGATTGCTGGGAGAACACTGAGCGTTATACTATCTCATGGAGAGTGTCCGAGCACGAAATCATTGATTTGCTAAAATTAGAGGACGGACCTCTGCGTTACCACTGAGCATGACCATGCAACATCCCTCAGTTCGTGGCTGCGTTACAAACACCTTTGTCACTTCCGGGTCACGGTACCCGAAGTGACCTGCCTCAGCTGCATCCATCCTGAGAGAGGGTCCTTCGATCTTCGTGAGTGACGTGGTATCCGCGGCGAAGACTGCAGGATGGCGTGCAATAGACGTAGGATCAGAGAGCAGGACAAGAGATTCGTCCATGGCATAAGCCGCAGAGGCTCTGTGGGAGAAAGTTGGCGATCGGACGAAGTTGGAAGAAGTTAGGCGCGAGAGTGATGAGCATATGCTGAGTAACAGTCCCAAGGAAAATGGATTTTGGGCTAAGCTGCAGATACCTAAAATTTGTACGAAGAACGGCGCGTTGCTCCAAACGCAAATGTTGCCTTCGGTTGGCTACACTGATGTGTATCAAAATAAAATCACATTAAAATCTCAAACGATTAGGTTCGGTGAAAAAAGTTTATGCGCAAAAACCCCTTTGCCAATTTTCTTGTGCAGATCTGTACTACTGATGATGTCTGCGAGTATTTTTTTCCTTGCACGTCAAGATGAACTGAGTTTTCAAAAGAACTCTCATTCTGAGAAGTTTCTAGCATCGAGTTTTTCAGGTTGGTGGCTACTCGACGGTGGCTCTTTAGTCCCTGTATTAGCACTTGGTCTGGAAAAAGGTGACTCTTTGCTGGACGTTTGTGCTGCTCCTGGAGGCAAGAGCTTGCTCTCAATGCTAACGAAACTGCCTAGTAAGTAGTTAGACGGTGCTGTTTTTTCTAAACTGAATCGTGATTGTATCCATGGAACGTCCTTTAATGACATGAAGTGCTCAGCCATAAAAAAGGGTGCGTCGAGAGACTTTGCGTCGATTTTACGTATGAATTTGCGGTGGAAAGCGACAGTAAAAGAATGTTCATAATTGCTTTATGGTTTCGTTTTGCATAGTTGATAAAACGGGCACCCAAATAGCATTTCGCCTCTAATTGTAAGAGTCATGTCGTCCTAGGGTCTTTTTCAGATGCCTGATCCGTTGTGAGCGTGTTTGCTAGAAGTTCGATCCCATCTGAATCGTAAATTTTGCTGAACCAATTTTGCTGCACTGTGCTTCAGTAGATGTACTCTTAATTGCACTCCTTTGATCTCGGCAGCAACGGTTACAGTTGTTCGTGCGTCACTGCACGCTTACTTACGGCTTGTTACATACTAAGCATGAGTAGGTGGCCCCTAGTTGCCCAGAGCACGCCACCGTTTCTGTATTGACAAAGCCGTCTTTTTCAAATCGACTGGTTGTGTTTTGAACCACGGTCTCTGAGAACCTTCCGCACTGTAAGAAGTTGGTCCTATAGGTGGTACACAATGCAACATGGACTATCTAAAGCAGCTCTCTGTTACACATTTTATCGCTTTCTTATTGGCATTGCCAGAGGCTTGCAGGAAGAAAGTAGCTCTTCTCCCGTGGTCGTGTTTGAAACACTACAGCATGCAGCGACCCCCTTGAATAAGCGCTCCATGACTTGGAAGACCCCTGCCGTTGTTAGACTCGGCTGGTTACTAGACGTGCCTTTTTGTTCGACTATCTATGTACCTTTCTGAGATTACTTTAGAAGCGCTAAGGGAGGGAAATGATAAGGTTGTGAGCACTTACAATGTATAAAACTCTCAAACAATGCCGAGCTTCCCATGTGGGAGAATCCTCTGCTCCCGCTCTTTCATTTCGTTCTTATCGCGAAATCATCTAATATGTTGCCTGACTAATGTCGATGTTTATAACTTGGTTTTGTAGTCGCGATAAAAAACAAAAATTCGCAAAAAAAATTTCATTGAGCGCGTAATCCCTTCACGCTGAGTTGCAGGCAAAGTGGTATGTAATGACTTCAAACTGGCTAGACTTGGACAGCTAAAGCGAGCTCTATCAACGTACATTCCTGTGGGCAATCCTGCCGCGGACACGGTGATTTTAAAACGACAAGATGCCAGCAATTTGGCGACGTGGGGTGAAATTAACACCTACGACAAGGTACGTAAAGAGCACGTAAACAGTGACCGCTCTGTTCATTGAGTAAGTATTGCGAAGTATTTCCAGGTGCTGGTAGATGTCCCGTGTTCAACAGATCGGCTAGCTGTAAATCAAGATGAAGGAAATATGTATTCTCCTCAGATGACTAACGAACGTCTTAACTTGCCGCAGCTACAGACGAAGATTTTAATGTGAGCGTACAGCCTTATTTGGGAGCGAGTCGCGTTCATAGAACACTTGTTTGAACTCCCAAGCCAACGTATTCCTAGGTACTAAAATTTCTCTGGCTGGAAAATGGGATCCAGGAACAGGGAAAAGGAATCGCAGGCAGCTCCCCTTTCCACTCATAGGTACCATAAACCCTGTTGAAATGCTGTCAGCGTTCGGGAGGGCTATTTAGAGGCTTGACGCACTATAATTTGGTACTTTGAAATTTGATCATTGTCTAACCACCTGCCATTCGCGCGTTGGCAATGCTGTTGCGGCATGCACCTGCAACGGCAATGCTTTCCAGGTTTACCGTTGTTAAGACGGGGCGCTCTCCGGTCGGTGGGAGGGGCTTGCACTCTTGAAAATCCTCCAAAAGGAAGTTGTCTAACACTTGCAGCGCCTTGACGCGGTAACATCTCGCCGACGAGAGAGCGCTCCACCGCTCGACTCGATTGCATAACTTGCCTGTGACAGCATTAAAGTTGGCAAGATAATTTGGTGTTCAGCCTAAAATGCTAGCAGGGCGCTATATAGTGGGGAAAATGGCGAAAAAAACGAAGTGAAACGGTCAAAACCTGCGAAGAAAAGCCTTCGTTCTTAATGACTTGAAAAGCAATTTCGGACGAGTTTCCCGTAGGCATCTTGCCAATAACCGCTACGGTAGATACAGTTGCACGTATGTAGACATATATCCATGCAGCACCGCGGCCATGCATCAATCCCTTCGCTTCATATTGTACTTCGCAAATGAAGCAATACGAGCATCAGGTACGGTCGTCCATTTGTGGGCGGGCGGGCGCGGTGGGCGGTATGTTGCAGCTTGATAGGGCCTTATTGGGGTACCTTCCTTGAAGAAGGCCCGATGCCGATGCGGCGCCTGCTCGGGGTTGCGGAATTCCGTCCCGTCAGGCGTATTAACCCTACTCATCTTAGGGGTTCATCGTGCCAACTGCCTTCAATCGAATAAATAGCTTAGCTAGCTCCTATTCGTTAGAAAGAGAAGAAAGGGGCATGACAAGTAGTGTCCAACTTCTCTCTTCGTAAAACCTCGGCATTGTTGTTACGTTTGATAATTCTTCTGTGCACACGAGGTTGGTAGGTGGAACTTTATTATGGCCTGACGTTTCGACTAGATCGTCTTCATCAGAGGCCTAAACGTGGCTCATGGTTTGAAATTGCTCTCTCTACACCGCCAAAGATCTCCTCTTCCCTAACGTTTCTGACAGACTACTGAGAAAACCACCCGAAAATCCCGAATGAGAGGAAAGACTCACCCAGTCCACCACAGCGAGAGCGGAGTAGCCGCTCAGTTAGTTGTTAGTACAATTAGTGGGACTTACTGGGCCGATAGTAATGTCACTATTGGCATAGTGAAGTCCCACTAATTGTACTAACAACTAACTGAGCGGCTACTTCCGCTCTCGCTGTGGTGGACTGGGTGAGTCTTTCCTCTCATTCGGGATTTTCGGGTGGTTTTCTCAATAGTGTCAGAAACGTTAGGGAAGAGGAGATCTTTGGCGGTGTGGAGAGACATTTCCAAACCATGAGCCATGTTCAGGGCTCTTACGATCTATTAGATTGTTCTCAGCGTTTTGTGCACCTATTTTTTGTACATTCACTGCTGATTAAAAACTCTGCCTTGCTTCTCAGTAGCACATCCTGTAGAGAATTTCTTGCGCTATCTGATGGTATAATTGCCGTTTCACCATTGCTTGATAAACCCCCTTTTTTCAAGATTTTTTCAAGCATGTGAAAAGAGCACTTCGGACGATTTTTTTCTTCGACTATAAATTGGGGCAATCCGCAATCGAAACAGCTCAACAAATTAACCAGGTGTGGGGGCCCAATAGTGCTAGAGAAAGCACTGTGCGGCAATGGCTCAACAAATTTCGTTCTGGAGATTTCAGCCTTGAAGGTGAACCTCATAGCGGTCGACCTAAAGCAATATCTGACGAGGATTTTAGGGGGATTTTGGAGGCTGACCCATCCCAAACAGTTCGAGAGATAGCAGAAGAGCTAGGCCTTGGCAAATCCACTGTTGCAGATGGTCTGGAACGCATTGGGAAGGTGAAAAAACTCGACAATTGGGTGCCCCACAATCGGAGTGACCGGCAGGAATCGGCACGTCTCGAGGTTCCTTCTGCATTGCTTTTGCGCAGCAGAAACGACCTGTTTTTGGACCGAATTGTCACCTGTGATGAAAAATGGGTCATGTATGATAACAGGAGACGTTCCGGACAGTGGTTGGATTTCGACGAACCACCGAGGTAATTTTCAAAGCCGAACCCTCACGAAAAAAAGATTCTGGTCACGGCTTGGTGGTCATCGGCTGGTGTGATCCACTATAACTTTTTATCACCAGGCCAAACCATCACAGCAGAACCCTACTGTGAAGAAATCGACGAAATGTACCGAAAATTTTGTCAGCTGCAGCCAACACTTATCAAAAGAAAGGGTCCGATTCCTTTGCATGACAACGCCCGCCCACACGTTTCACAAATCACTATCCATAAATTGAACGAATTGGGGGTTGAAGTTCTACCTCACCGCCATATTCTCCAGACCTTTCACCAACCGACTATCACCTTTTCAAACATTTTCAGAACTTCCTTGCTGGAAAATACTTCATCAATCAGGACCAGGCAAAAAAGCCTTCGTGGATTCGTGAATTTCGACCACCCAGTTTTTTACTTTGATGGGATTTCTCGACTGCTGTCACATTGGCAAAAGTGTGCTGATTCGAATGGTGCCTATTTCGATTAAATCA